AACCCATCTGGTTTCCTTAAAAACCCGTGCCCCGCACTTTTTACTAGGAAGGTTTAAGATTTTTATTGCTTTACAGGCTTCAGCGTAAACAAGTATGCAATTGTAAAGAATGGAGCTTGCCTAAATCGTCAAGGTGAAAAAGAAAGATCTTGTACAGTCCCTGCCTTTGGCAAACTATTATGCCTCATTTAGTGCATGTTTGGGGCAAAACTTTCACTTTTTTTAAAGTTGGTCAAACATACTTTTTGTTCACAGTTTGTAACTACTTAAAAGCAATGTTCTAAAATGCGTAATGCGTTGCGATGCGTCGATGTCGAGAATCAAGAATCACAAGTTTAGGCGTGTCAATGCGAAGAATAAACGCCATAATGCGTTTCGTATTTTTAATATTATTTTAATTATTTTTAAGATATTAAATATATTTTTATATAAAAAAAAGATTTTTTACTATATCATTAAAAAAAAGGTTAATTTCAAATTTTTCNATTATTTTAATTATTTTTAAGACATTAAATAGATTTTTATATAAAAAAATAGATTTTTATATAAAAAAATAGATTTTTAATTTTTTACTATATTATAAAAAAATAGATTTTTTTACCTTAAAAAATAAAAGATAATTAAAAAATGAAATTTTTTTACATTTATGCGCAAAACCGTTTTAATTATCCAAATGGGCCATTTCATTGGCCTCTTCAATTATGGGATTAGTTGGGTTCATTTCCCCCATTCATTTCCTTTCCTATTGGGTGGGTTATCTTCTTCCCCCATTCACTGTGTAAATTTGGCACTTGATTTTACGCCAGAAAATTCCACAAGATTCTTCCATTATTTGGTGTCTTACTGGGTTCGAAGTCTTGAATGAAATTAAAGAAGGAGAAATCTTCTTGAAATGGGGAAGAAGAGATTTCAATTGTGTGGAATTGAGATGTGAACACAAGAAAGCTTGAATGGGAGATGGAAATCATAGAACTAACAGTTAACAGTGGGCTGAATTCCAGGAACTCCTTCCATTTGAGATTGCACTAATTCTGCTCCTAATACCAAATTTTTCGCCCGGTTTTTGTTCTCCCCAGATTCACTTTGATTCCTTGGATTTGAATGGGTGGCTTCCGGCTATTATTCTCCGACAGGTCCGCTTGAACACAGGCGTCCCACACCGGTGTGGAGATAGTTCCAGATTTCTTCCCAATGGCTCTCAAGTCTCAACCATGGAACGCATTGTTGTTCCCCTCCTTCACCTATGGCAGATCCTTGCTCTATTTTGCTACACCGACCGGTTTGGTGATCAAATGTTTTACCTAGCTTCTTTAGCCTCAGATCAAAATCAGCCAAACATAATAATGAGATTACCCCAACAATAGTAAGGCTGTAAGGGTCGTCCTGGCTGCTGCACCGGCAAGAAATGTCAATGTTCGCTTACCGTTTGTAACATATGAAAGGATCCCACATCGAAATCTCACAGAGGAAGCACAAGAAATTATTCATATAAATAAATGGGCCAACAAAAGCTTAGTCTTCATATACTTCCTGGGCCTGCCAATTGGGTGGGTTGGAAGTTTGGAAGTTTATAATTAAAAGAAAAATTTTAAAAAGGTAATTAAAAGAAAATTTTAAAAAAAAATAAAAAAATGCGCATTTTCACACGCATGCCTTGAATGTGAGGCGTCTTGGCTACGCTTCGCGCGTATGCGCGCTTAGGCGCCGCATTTTGACGCCTTTTAGAACACTGATTGTAAACAATGATCTAATAATGTATATCAAACGTGTACTTAGTGTCTTGTGTTGGTAGCTTCAAACTTGTCAACGGAATAACAATGGTAAAGCAACTCAAGTTAGTTAAAACTGTCTAATCACAAGCAACAAAAATTCTTTCATACAACCATTTATACACAAACTTGCAATTACTTCACAAATATTCAGAAAATGCAGTTAATTTTTAAAAATAATTCATTGTGAAACATGCTAGAAATAGATAGCGCAGAACTCTGACGGCGAATATTATTGTAAAATACTTCTGAAAAATCAACAGGTCTTCATTGTATCTAATTCTACGGTTTGAGTTAAAAACAATTCAATCAGTAGCATCTCACGAATGAACTAAGAAACATTTTAACATACCTAATTAATGATTTCTCAACTGGAGCGCTTGTAAGAAACGTGTTGTCTTGCGGCCCTAGCATTTTCATACTCGAACTTCAACACATTGGGAATGTGCGATGTATCCTTAACATAAAAAAACCTCCCAAAAGCACTCTCTTCAATTGCCGGAAAATAGAACCGGAGCAAAGAATTCACCACCCAAAACCAGCCTCCACCAAGCACCGCCCCAAGTGCAGCTCCAGCGAAGACCTGAGCTACTGTGTGGTACCCCAAATAGACCCTCGAATACATAGTCAAAATCGCCAAAGGCCACACAAGAAGTCCCACAACCCACAATTGTTTCCTGGCTAAAATCCCAATCTTATAATACGTCAAAAGCGTGCAATAAACGGCAAAAAAAAACATGTACTGAGAGTGGCTGGAGGGCCAGCCATGGGAATCGCACATTTCAAGAAGTGCACAGGTTTCGGGCCGGGCCTGCTGGACCGATGTCTTGATAATTTCATTGATAAACTGTGAAATCAACAGACCCAATGCAAAGAACGTGACCTGAAGCTCGCGGCGAAAGATGAAATGAGAAATGAACCCACCAAGACTAATGAAAACTGGGACTAGGGAAATCCATGCCAGGAAATGGCCCAGTTGATCTCCTCTATGGTACCTAACATGGGTCAGTGTCACTGCTTTCAATGGTGAATGCGCGTGTGAATTCGACATGATTTCTTGAAAACTTTTCAGAAAAATTAAGAAAATAACTTGTAACAATCGGATCTAGACTCGTATATGGATTTTTGGAAGAACTCGGGTTTCGTCCGTATTAAATTCTGTGAATTTGCAGGGAATGGAAAGTGCCTTGAGAATCTGAGATTTCGCTATGCAGAAACCGTTGACGGAGGAGAAGGGATGCCGTCACGTAAAGTATGTGTGAGAAACACGAAGAGGCCTTGGATATACAAAAGTGCGAGTTAGCCTCTGTTTGAGGCGAGTCTTTTTCTCATTTTCATTCTTCAATTCATTTTCAACCATACATTTTTTAATAAAATAATATTTTTCATCATATCAATAATTTTTTCTTCCTTTTTAACCACATATTCCACACCACATCAAACAAAAAATTACATTCTTGAACTCAAATATACACCAAACAGGGCTTAATTAATCACCAACATTCGCTTGAGTGTTACTTGTTCACCATCCACTTCAAAAGAAAATTATCCATTCATCACATATTTCAATTACATCCATTCAACTAGACAAAAAAAATTCTTGTGGCAAACGAAAATCTCACGTCGCCATCACGTCATTAAGGCCTGTTTGTTTCGAATTAAAATTAGATTTTAATCTAAGTCTAAGTTAAAGTCAAACAATCAATATTAACCACATCTTTCATGGGTCTCATATTTTTTCAATCACACATTTCAAAAATTTTCATGACAATCTACTAAAAATCTAATTTTAATACATACCAAACACCTACTAAAATTTGACTAGTGGATACAACACGTTCCATTATCCACTCGTCAATTTTAACGTTGTCAATGATCACGTAAGATTTTCGTCCATCACGTGAACTTTTTTGTTTGATTGGATGGATGGAATTGAAATGGGGTGATGATTGGGTAATATTTTTTTAAAAATGGTGAGCAATCAATAATTCTTTATCTTTTTGATGAGCAAGTAATAAATAGAGGTAAATGTTAGTGATTGGTGTTTTAATTGACTACAAAAGTGCCTAACCAAATAAAACCAAATCGAATTTTGTTCACTTCTAGAGTGGTTTTCAACCCTATTTTTAGGGATGGCAACGAGAGGGTCATTCTCACCCTTATTTCATCGTGTATTTTTGCTACCTTACCACATCTACATATCCATTTAAAACAGGACAATTCGAGTTCGGGGTAGGACGGGGGACCCTGCCCCATTTATCGCCCCATTTATTTTATTTTTTATTTATATTATTTTTTGTTTTTATATTTTTATACCAATTTGTTAAAAATGACTTATGTTCTATTTAAAAATATATAAATCTATTTTTTTATTGATAAAAAATTAAAATTTAAAATTAACTTTAAATGGAAAGGGACTATGTTTACCATACTCACTTTGGAACAATGATCATCACCAAATTCCTGTCCCGTTTATCAAGTTAGGCGGGTAATCACCGCCTCATTCGGGACGGGCCCCACAAGTATTGAGTTTTTTTGTTATCCCTATCTTTTTTTTTTTAATCTAAAAAATGTGTTTTGTTATAGTGAATTTTAGGAGATGTATGATTAAAAGAATGTGTAATTTTTACATTCAAAATTATTTTATTGAAAAAATCTGTGATTGAAAATGAGTTTTTAGATAATGTAAGTCAAACGAGGAGTTAATTTTGACAATTGTTTAAGTTGTTTTAAAAGGTGTGAATCGTGGACAAAGCCAAACTTCAAGATTAAAGTCCATTTTCTTATTTTTATATTTCTTTCATCTCATAAAGATAGATTTGATTTTCTTTTTCGTCTGTCCTAAATTACATGCCATTTTTTTTATTGAAAATACAGATATTTTTAAATTTTTTAATATGTTCATATTTAGTGTATCTTGTTAACAACAAATATAAATTAATCATATTTAAACTATTATTTAATGTAGGGATATATTAGAAAAAATTTAGAAAAATTAATATGTTCAACTATATTTTACTTACAATACCACATTATATTTACACCATAATTAAAATATGTTTACAATAAATACACCACAACACATTTACAATTATAATCTTAATCCAATAAAAACTAGAAAATGAAGAAAAAAATACAGTATTACTCATTTTTTCTCATCTTTTCCGACCCATTCTTCTTGACCAACTTTCCCCGCCCCCTGGCTCAATAATATGCTCATAAACACGCACAATATTAATTGAGATGTGCTAGAGGTACATAATGGGCACTATAATGGTGTCCATAATGGACACTCGGGGAGTGTCCATTATGGGCACCATTATGGTGCCCATTATGTACAAGGAGAATAACCCATATTCATTTCCCTGAGCATCCGGAAACATTGGCAGCAATGAGGACCATTTAGTAAAAAAATAAAGTAAATAAAGAACTTTTTGCAATGAAAAGTTTCACCCCAGAGCAATGATGGTGAAGAATTATCTTCTTTTATTATATTTCATCTTATTTCTTTATTCACATGCATTATTCACCTTTAGTTAGCTTGCTTGTTTAGACATGTGTCCACCTTTCATTGGTTACTGTTTTGTATATGCTTTGGATCTCCACGTTGAAGGTATGATTAATGAAATAAAATATCAGTGAAAACGCAGCATTTTCAGCTGCACAAAATCTTCATCCATAAATTGAATATGGTATCAAAGCGAGTTATCCATATCATGAGCATAATCATCTAAGCTGTTGTCAAGTCAATGCAAAATTAAATCATGGCTACGGAAATTCCACATGAGCGAACTGATCTTCTACCCACAGAACAAGGAGTATCTGAGAAGGATTACAACAATGGAGATCCATTACATCTTCAAGGATCAGATCACCCAAGAATGGTATTATTGACTTCACCTTTAACGGGTAAAAAATATTTGAGTTGGAATAGGTCGATTAAAATTGCACTAGGTGCAAAATTGAAATTGGGATTTATAAATGGGAAATGTAAAAAACCAGCTGAAGAATCTTCACAGTTCGTTCAATGGTTTAGAATGGACTATATGGTCAGATCTTGGATATTGAATTCAATCTCGAAGGAAATTGTGGATGCATTTATCTACACATCTTCGGCCAGAGACTTATGGCTTAAGTTGGATGAGAGATATGGAGAATGCAATGGTCATTTACTCTATCAATTACAGAGGGAGATTAGTAGTTTAACTCAATGATCATTATCAGTTGAAAAGTATTTCACTAAACTCAAAAAACGGTAGGACGAAATCACCTATCTGATGCCCATTCCAGTTTGTACTTGTGGAGCTGCGAAGGAGGTATTTGATTTAGCCTCATTCAACAAACTTATGCAATTTTTGGTGGGGTTGAATGGCACCACGATACTATCAGAAATCAGTTGTTGATAATGGATCCTTTACCATCAATTAACAGAGCATACTCCATGGTTTTGAGAGTTGAAAAGCAAAGGGAGGTACGTGTACTTTTTCCAGAGGTTACTGATAATCTAGCTATGATGGCAACAGGAAATAATTACAGAGGTAATGGACATATGAGAGGAAGAGGAAACTGGATTGGAAGGTTTAATTCTGGAAGAGGCACAACATGTTTCATTTGCTCTTATTTAATCTGTAAAAACAAAAAATAGAAAAGTTAGAATTTATACCCATACACAGCTCTACTTGATTATTCTAAACCTCATTGCCAATCAGTAATGTTTAGAGTATTCAAGCAGTTTCTAAATTTATTTAAAGGTAAAACTTTGGTTCCAAGATTAGAGGGGTTGAACTCAGTTGAAATTTTCACAAGACTTATCAAACCCTTTTCAGCCATATTTCTCACAAAGTGGAACTTAATGTCAACTTTTTCAGTTCGATCATGATACATAGNATTTATAAATGGGAAATGTAAAAAAGCAGCTGAAGAATCTTCACAGTTCGATCAATGGTTTAGAATGGACTGTATGGTCAGATCTTGGATATTGAATTCAATCTCGAAGGAAATTGGGGATGCATTTATCTACACATCTTCGGCCAGAGACTTATGGCTTAAGTTGGATGAGAGATATGGGGAATGCAATGGTCATTTACTCTATCAATTACAGAGAGAGATTAGTAGTTTAACTCAATGATCATTATCAGTTGAAAAGTATTTCACTAAACTCAAAAAACGGTGGGACGAAATCACCTGTCTGATGCCCATTCCAGTTTGTACTTGTGGAGCTGCGAAGGAGGTATTTGATTTAGCCTCATTCAACAAACTTATGCAATTTTTGATGGGGTTGAATGGCACCACGATACTATCAGAAATCAGTTGTTGGTAATGGATCCTTTACCATCAATTCACAGAGCATACTCCATGGTTTTGAGAGTTGAAAAGCAAAGGGAGGTACATGTACTTTTTCTAGAGGTTACTGATAATCTAGCTATGATGGCAACATGAAATAATTACAGAGGTAATGGACATATGAGAGGAAGAGGAAACTGGATTGGAAGGTTTAATTCTGGAAGAGGCACGACATGTTTCATTTGCTCTTATTTAATCTGTAAAAACAAAAAATAGAAAAGTTAGAATTTATACCCATACACAGCTCTACTTGATTATTCTAAACCTCACTGCCAATCAGTAATGTTTAGAGTATTCAAGCAGTTTCTAAATTTATTTAAAGGTAAAACTTTGGTTCCAAGATTAGAAGGGTTGAACTCAGTTGAAATTTTCACAAGACTGATCAAACCCTTTTCAGCCATATTCCTCTCAAAGTGGAACTTAATGTCAACATTTTCA